CTTAACCACCCCGGACGCCCCGAGGCCCACAGGCCAGGGAGAGCGTGCAGGCGCTGGGGGAAGCACGGATGCCAGGGGCTGCGTGGGCCAGAGTGTGGAGGAGCCGGGGCCCCGCTGCCCGGGATGGTGGGCAGCCTCTATCTGCCAGGCTTCCCCAGGGTGTGTCCCTTTGTGTTGGATGCCAGCAGGAGCTGTTCTATGAGACAGGGAGAGTAGGTTTCAGGCTTTGTTTGGTGTTTTGACACAAATTGGATGACCTGACAGCTGGATTCATAGTCTTTTCAATTTAAGTAGTTGAATGTTTTCCCAGTAAATGTTTGATTTTACATCCAAGAAGCCCTTTCCTTCCCCGGGTAGAAGGGCTGCTGAAGGGCGTTCCGTGGAGAGCTGTCGGGAAAAGCAGTTTTCCTTATTTGATGGAAACGTGCTGCAGGAGGGCTGTGAGCACAGCCCATTGCCAGGAGCTTCTTGGCTTCTGCCTGAGAGTGCAGGGCTCCACCTCCCCGGTGGGGCGCTCCGGAGTGAGGAATGGGATACATCAGGAGGGTTCTCTGGTGCCCTGTGCGCTGCAGCGCTGGCCGGTGCGTTTCCATCCAGTTTCATCCACTCCCCTCTGCCGCCCTTTGCTTACTCTGAGAGCCCAGTGAGAGCAATCACTGCTAGCTAAGCCCTTGTTCTGCAGAATGGGCCAGCTGCCTATGACTTTCGTGGAGGGCGCCGCTGGTATCCTGCCCTTCGGCACCCTGTCCTATGAGGGAGCCCTTAGTTATGAAGGGTGTCCAGACCAGGCCTTCTAGCAGGTCGTCTCAAATTGCCCCATGTGGTATGAGTTGCCCTTACCACCTGGCTACAGTCAGGGATTCATCCCCCTTGTTCTTCTGGGAGGTGAGTGTCAGGGTTTAGGGGACGGCAGACTTATTTGAACGGCAGGTCCCTCCCGCAGCATAGCGTGATATCTCAAGAGTTTGGGATCTGCGAACCAGAGGTTTCCTTTGGAGGACAGCCCTGAGATACGCTGAGAGTACACTGCCAGACCATTGCCAAGACAAGCTTGGTAGCCTTTAAATTAGCGGGGCAACAGCCGCAATTGCCTGAAGACAGACCAGCCTTTGGCTACCATGTCTAGCTCTTTCCTCAAGTAGCCAACCATACCTGTGGCGACGGCCTCTTGGTTTGGGTCCCAGGTGCCAAGGGAAGGCCCTAGTCTCCTTCTGTCTTGCTGAACCACTGTGTCAGACCAATTTGCGCCCAGGGCCTTCATCCTTGGGGACAAACAGCCTTTCAACGATCTCTTGGGTGGTTAAGACAGGGTCCTGGCAGGTGCCAGTGGTACCGCATTTTGAAGGGTCCAACTTTGCACACCTGTAATGGCCACCTGTGGAAGGCTTCAGGAGCCCTGTGCGGTGAGGCTGCAGGGCAGCCATGCCCAGGAAGCCCTCTTCCTAGCCCATTCCTATTCCTATTCCTACTCCTATTCCTATTCCTACTCCTACTCCTA